TGCTGAAAACTTTGGAAAATAGCATCTGATCGAATACATTACTCAAAGAACTAAATCTACCGTCATGCTTTGCTCAAGAAAATGTCGTACCTGCACAATACTCCATTTTTTAATTTAAAGCGCAAAGAGAGAATGTGACCGATATTATAGTCTTTTGAACGAAAAAGCATATGCTATTGATTTTTTTTCCAAACAGCTGAAAGGTTGACTATATAATTGTATTCAAGCTCGAAAAACATCAAAGTCAACAAGCATTGTAGTTAATTTACCTATTATGAACGAACGTCATGAATAAAAGCTTTGGATTAAAATTAGCACTATATTATATTGTTATGAAAGTCAATTCACGTGCTTAATCAGTCTCGAAAGATCTGCTTAAATACAAACGTAAGTTAACTGCCACGATTATTCAAATAGTGAGTTAAGGACTTTGACACAAAGTTGACATATGGCACGATCTGTAGCAAGTAAGCGGGACAATACACTCAAAAAGAGCACCAGTTTGAAGACGACCGGACCACCTGACGGAGCTATATGATGCGAGCTGTTGCACTTTCATATCTAGAAGAGTAAAAAAGTCCTTTTTGGATATTTAGAAAACCAGACTTCAGTGATAACAGTGACTTTACCAGTGATAACAATTCATAGTTGTTGCAACAATCTTGAACATATTCAGGAAGAAAACAAAGCTTGTTTCAGAGTCATCAAATATCAAGCAAAGATTCCCCAATCATATTGAAAGTGACGAGAAGGGTGACTGGTAACCCATGTAAAGTCAATTAAAAGTATACAAAAATGAGCAACTCCACGACCATACCGGTGGATATTGACTTTTTTATTACGATGATAGTTATTAATGCTTTCAGTGGATTTTTGGCAACAGTTTTGAACTTATTGATCATATTTACCTTTTTCAAGACGCCATTTTTGCGAACACATCCTTCAAACATTCTTATTCTTGGACTTGCCATGACTGACTTTTGTGTGGGTGCCGTTGTGCAGCCAGTTTATTGTAGATGGATTTTTGCAATAATGAATTGCAATAAATATGCTATCGAAAACGCTAAAAAAGTATCAGTGTTTTCCTGCAACATTTTGATAGTTGCATCACTTTTGACAATAACTGTCATTACTGTCGACCGATTCCTTGCTCTTTACTTGCATCTAAGATACCAAGAACTCGCTACAACGAAGATGACCTCAGCAGTTTTGGTCATAATTTGGATAATAAGTGTGTCGTGGGCGTTACCTTTTCTTACATTAGAAGAAGTAAATATTACTGCTTTAAGAATTACAAGCTCAATCATATTTATTTCTCTTATGTTGATAAACGTTGCACTTATGATAAAAATATCTTGTATAGTCAATCAACATGCAGAGCAAATTCAAGCTCAACAACAGTTCATAAACGCACAGCCTGGTGTCGCAGTGAACATTAAGAGATCTGTCAATATCATGTATTACATACTCGGAATATTCGTTCTTTGTTACCTTCCAGCGAATTGCGTTTGGATTATGAAAGGTTATCCTCCAAAAGATACAATAAGCGCCGTACATGAAGTTGTTAGAGCTATTCTCATGTTAAACAGCTCTATCAATCCAATAATTTATTTTTGGAGAATACATGATATGAGAAATGCTGCTTTTAAGTTGTTTCGTTGTATTCGAAGAAACAATAACGATAACAATAAGAGTAACGGCGCCAAAAAGGGYAACTACAMTGACAGTAGTAAAAAAGAGATGATTCAGATGAAAACAGCGACGAAAACTACAACCAAAACGACAACGGCAACGACGGCGATAGAAAATGTCAGTGATGGTAATGAAAAAGATAGCATCAACAACCATACCGACAAAGATGAACATTACCTAGAACAGCGTCATTTGTAATATTCAGTTGAGAAAATAAACTTGCTATTGTGTTTGTAATCAAGGAAAAATGATCGATTTCAATATTTCACATTATATTCTCTATAACATGGGCGAGCGGAGATGTGGATTTCAATTTGGAGTTGTGAAAAGAAAGATTTTCAGCAATAGAAGTTGAAATTTCCAAACGGAAGTCATATAATTATATAAAAATATATTTATCTATAAAGCGGTTGTGTCTATGACTAGACTTATATATTTAAGCATTGGTCTAGAGATTTGAAGGTAAATAGACAATAAAGAAACGATTTGACCCATTTTAATTCTGTTGCTTGATTGAAATTACCTAGTTATTATTTATTATTATYATCTATTTTTTTCATYTATTCATTTAATTTTAATCTAACAAGAATACAAGAATGTTACTGGAAGACATAACTATTTTCGATAATGTTTTGGTTTACCGTCAATTCAACAAAAAAAAAGGGTCCCTGTTGATATATATTTAGGAGGATAACAATGGCGYAGAAAGCTTACTTAATTGTGAAATTACATTTGGTGCATGGCAGTTTAAAGACAGTCTATTAAATACGTAAAAATAATTTGACCTAATTCGTGAAGTTGAATAAGCACATCTGCAAAATGACATTTGATCACAATTATCTGTCATAAAAATGATAACAGGCAAGTTCTGGAGCGTGCRCGCGTTTCCAGAATTAGGCTTATTGAATGATTTCAATTTTTGTTTACTTTCCAAGTGAATACCACTCATTTGACTCTATTTAGTCTAATTTTTGATGWCATTAATGGGTACATTAATGGGATATTAATAGGTACAGCATATATATAATATATATGTAGCCCAGCACAAGATCGGTTTATCTGTTGATTTCGATGTTGTAGGTTGGACATTCCAATTTCTGAGCATTGTTAWAACGTAGCTGCCCCWTTTTAAACATKTCATTCCATGCACTTGTCCAGTCCCTGACCTAAACTCTAACCCTMGCCTATACTTTGTTGAWCACCTAACAACGTTCGAACGTKAAAKATAGAAATCGCAAACACATTACCACCTGGAAACGATTAGAATTGCCGCCCGTAACTTAGAGCTTTTGATTACTCGACTTAATGCAAATTTAAAAAAAAAAAATCCTTTAGACTCATCAACGTGGCTTTTCGTTTTTCAAATCATYGATTCAAGCAGCCAGGAGAAGAGGGGGGTGGGGAAAGTAGAAGAGCAGGAGAGGGACGTTGAAAATTATTGGAAATACTCCTAAAAGGTAGCTTATTTATTTTAAAATTAAAAAAATGCGTGTCTTTGAAATTATCAACTCTTAAAGGATAGCACATTTAGAAAGAATTGTAGTTCAAGTGACCTAAGATATTGCACACCTAWGAAACAGACAAAGTCGATCATAGATTTTGGAATGTCTTCATAGTTAGCGTGACTCAGTCGAGTTAATGAGTGGTGCGAATAATTAATTTTGATTTTTTCTCACCCGGCACATACAAAAAAGCATATAAACAGCACTTTGTGGCAGTGAGCGCTATGGTATTGTAAAKACACAATAAACAAGCAGTCATGTGATAGATACTCTTTAAATTCTTACCAGGTGTTGGTGCATGTCTTGCTTCTAATAAAAAAAAGAAAMACATTATTATTGTAAGCTATATATATCCTGGCAAAAGGAGGGTGGGCATTGTCTTTTTTACCTTCACAAGCGTAACCATTTCCAACAAAGCCAGTTATGCAWACACATTTTTCATATTTGCAGTGAGCATTTCTATGACAACCACTGCATCCATTTCCAAGAAAAACTAAAAATAAGATAAATATAATMTTTAGTAAATACAAAAGACTGTATTCCATTAAACGACGACATTCGCGCCTTGACAACTTTATGACAAGATTATGACTAAAGCTTTGGTCGTACGCCGAACTTCACATGTGCCGAATACAATTCCTATTTTACTAAATTTTCTTTGATTAAGCGCCAAATACAAATCTCAATTTTTTTCCTTCACCATGAAACTGGTGGTTGCTGGGTAATTGTTAATTCATGTAAATCAAGAATAATGCATGAATTACATCTGCACATGTAAGATACGACGTATAAGTCAACTGCCGAACTGTTACTTTCAATGAAAAAGTTGTTTTTGATACAAAATGTCGAATTCAGTTGATTTATACGATACACCTCACATGCATTTTAAAAATTCGTGGTTGTATTCTCCAAATGTGAAATTCTACATATAACTTGGGATAGAGTGCCACTTGAAATATCTAACCTTCACATGTCGTTCCACTATATCTTGGCTGGCAAGTACAAACATATGATTCACCAGTCTCTATACACATKCCATTGTTTTGACAGGGATGTGACCAACAAGGGCTTCGGAAAGCTAGTAATTAAATATAGAGAAAAATTTCTTTCATTTTAGATTAATGCAAGTCAAATAGCGGGTATTGGATGCTGGTGGGACATGTCAATTATGACGCCTATATTCCAGATCCTTCAATTTTCTAATTCTTCCGATGAAATTATATACTGGTTGGAATGTTTTGTGGTGCAAAAAAAGTTATGCATGTGACCAAATAAGAATAATTTGATTAATTAATAGCTCAAACAATGTAAAATCTATATTTTTAACTTACTCTGGCAAAAATTGCCTGTATATCTTGAAGGGCATTCGCAGCGAAATCCACGATGTGGGTCATCGAGACATTTACCACCATTTTGACATGGAAAAGATGCACATTTTGACCTTTTCTCTACAACAATATAAACGATGAAAAATGAAAACGTCAGTTTAATGCTACATCAATGAACATTATAGAAAACACTAATGCTGACGTGAAATGTTTAGTAAGTAGTATATATAACATGAGCACGCGACTTTTATGAAGGCCGCAGGCAAGAAAGATCTTGATCACATTGATAAGGATTGGATCCGAATATAAACCAACGAACGCGAGGTTTGTATGTAAAATTGTCAGACCGAGTTCTGACAGTACAGACCAAGCGTAGCGAACAGTATCTTATGTTATCAAAGAAGTGATGTCCTCAAACCTTCGCACGTGATCCCGGTATAACTGTAAGGACAATGACATGTGAACGTCCCAGCCCCATCACTAGTACACGTCGCCCCATTAGCACATGGATTGGAATGGCACACATCAATATCTAGAAAACATATTTCCATGAACGATTAAAWTGGATCATTCTTTCAATTCTAGTAAATGTGAGAACGCAGCCGAGCAAAAATCAGTATATTTTGTTTTAATAGCTCCGTCTATCAAGCACTGACCCACACTGAACTGCGCTCAATACACTTTGGGACAAACACAGATAAGCTTCTGACAATCTGTCGAATGTTCAGACGTTCTTCTGTTATAGGGGAGGGGGGGAGTCGCAAGAGTAGTTGTCGGAGAAGTTAGGAACTGGAGAAAAACAATACAATTCTGGATAGAGCTGGTAGGTGATATTTCACGATTTGTATGCCTTTGTCTAGTTGGCTTCCTCTAGTATATGCCTTGGTCTAGTTGGCAACATCTTTTAGCACGCAGAACTAGTACTGACTTACTGCGCTTATAGGTTGAGCTTGGAACGGCTATAGTTTAATCGATTGGTTTTATCGAAGAAACATAAAAGTTATGACGTCATAACATAATGTTGTCAAGGTCCGGACTTCATGTTG